ATATCAAAGGTACACCGTATGAAATATCGATAAACTTATATAGCGGAAAAGATTATGAAACGCCAATCGTGTACCTTATAGAAATACTTCTTTTATTCATTTGAAGAAAGACGGACAAAAGAAAAAGTTGGATTACCTCTAATAAGTAATACGAATTGTTTATAACTTAGAAATTTTGTTAAGAATTTTTATTTTAGACCGAATATGTGAGAAACATAATCAATACTAGAAAAAATTTATTGTACCGATTATTGCGAAGAATATTACTAAGACCTCGATGGTCTAATGGCTTAGGACGCTCGTATGGAATACAAGAGATCCAAGTCCCGATCGAGGTAATATTTTTCGCAATAAATTTATTAACAGTTTCAACATAACATCTTTATAATATAATGCTTGATGGTAGCATCAAATTATTAAGTTGTTTGTCAATTTAATTCGCGATTACTAAAGTAGTTTTAATTGAGTTTATAGTCTGGAAAAACAATTCGGCGCGCAGTTCTAAAAAACTACACTATGATATATACGCAAGTATATATATAGTGTATTAGTAATTCGAGATTGAATTATTTAAAGCAATGGAGATCGAGCTTTGACCGTAATAGGCATTTTTCTAGTATTGATTGTGTTAGAAACTTTGATCATGTCGAGAAAAGTATAGGAAAAGTATATCTAAAATTAAAGATGCTACAGAAATTAAATAAGAGAAGGGCCTTGTACAGAAAAATTTTCTCAATATGTTCTTTGCAATTTTTTAAGATGCTAGAAGCATCATTATTAAATCAACGATTAATTTAATTGTGATATTATTATTTCAGCTTTAAATTATTTTAAGAACTTGCATATATATAAATATTTTTAGGCACTAAAATCTATCCTTGACCTACCGTCCTTGGTCCTCTCTCTCCTTACTTATTTAATTTATTCATGTAACCATTATTAATGCTACAAAAAATTGATGATGTTGATAGACTTTTTAAATTGGAAATTAGAAATTTGAAACGGCACAAATATAAAACCGTTATTTATCATATTCGAAGTAAACTAGATGTCGTGTACCGCGATACCCCGAAGCACAGTTAAGAGGCGCATTACACCGACCTGCGCCTCGTTATCGCGAAAAATGCATGAGTCTGCAGCGATACGATGAAAGTTTCCGTCGTTGAAAGGTTCACCGAGTTGAAAACTGCTTGGTGAACACCAAGACGATACACGAGAATGATGCACGAGAAAGAGCGTGAAATCGCGAGAAGTCATGACCGTTTGCGAACGCGTTCAGGGGGCGTATACTGTGTGAAAATAAGAATGGAGAACACGCGCACCAGGATTGTCGCGACACGTAAATGTAGACGTGAAGAGAGTCAGATCTCACATTTCACTCTCAAAAGAGAGACGGATTTAGTTACTTCAAAGCAGCGCTTTTCTAAAAATAGCGAAATGACTTTCGTGTCAAGAATTGCTTCAATTCTTTCATTCCAATTTTTGTTTCTTATTTTTATTGTATTGTATTTCATATTTTTTTTTACTATAAAGCAGCACTTTTAATTATCTTATATAATTTAAACTAATAAACTGAATTAATTTTGTGTATATCTTCAAAATTTAACGTAGGGATAATTAAATCCCGCTCTGACTTTTAATTTTATATAAATAATAAAATTTCCAATGAAGAAACATTCCCATTTACAAAGTCGTTCCTTTTGATTAACTTGTGTATAACGTACATGCGACATTCAGCTCTCGCTAGACATTGAAAGCTTCGAAGAAATCTTTACAGAATGTTCGAGCACGCGTAGTACCTACATGAATAGATAAGAAAAGAAGTATTATACTCGCGACTGGTTCTTAATCCGAACCTGGCCCGAAGAAAAGCATACATGGAGATGTCTGCAACGAAATTCTCTCACGAATCCCTCAACATGAGAAGATTCGCAAAGGATGTCAACGTCGTATTAGTTTGTTTTTCCACGAAAAGAAAAGCCTGAGCCTCTATTTCATTCTTTCCTTTCATTTTTTTCCCCCTCTTTCTGCTTCAATATTTCAAAGTTACTCTGGAGAATGTGACTTATAAAGCAATAAAAATAATTGGCTGATAAAAAATATGACACTGATTTGTGATGAAAAAAGAGAAAAAAAAAAGAATTTTTTTCTAGTAATGAGTATTTTTTATTATTATTGAATGTATATAATTTTTTTCATTTCTTGGATTTCAAATTTCTATTAACTAAAGTTAAGAAATATTAAATTCTCTCCAGATTAATAAAAGTTGCATTATAATGCGAAACATGATCATTAAATATTAAATACAAATAGAAACATTATTTACATTGCAAACCTTAAACTGTTTCAAATATTAAGAACCTGTAACCTCATGTATGATAAAGTTTCACTAACAAGGGAACACAACCAAATGAATTTCTCCGATTTAAATGAGCTTTTAATAAGTTGTTCTATGGACAAAAATAGTAGACACGTATTTTTTTGTACATGCTGAGTCGCATGTTAAGGGGGTGAAATCCTCCCCTGAAAAACATCATCGAAACTGTAAGAGATAGAAAAAAATTTGC